AGTATTGGACCGGGCACTGTCCCGAATGGTCCCGAATGATACCGCACTTGTGTCCCTTTGAACTTCAGTCGTATAATAAATCTCTTATTAACCAAGCTTGCTCAGGACCGTACTGGAAGAATATCGGCCCTCGGTCTTTTTTGTACGGACCTCGCTGCGCTCGGTCCGTACTGTCAAGACCTCGGGCCGATATTCTCCCAGTAAGGCCCTCGCGCTTGGTTAATAAGATATATGTTTCATACGCTCGAGACTTCCCACCTATCAAGTTTTTTTTCAAGTGTTTATTTAAAACCCCTTGGTTCCAGCTACCGCAAAATGTACCGTCAACCGATGAAATGACGCGCGTGAGTAGGGCTAGTACAGGCATAAATGGGGCGAAATTGGCCATAATATCTCTTAAACGAGTACGGTGACCTATCTTTTTTTTATTGTATTTTTTGGAAACAGACATTGGTCGGGAACAAAGAAAAGCTTAAAAAATCTTTTCGATAGCTTTTTTTCTGAGGAATCACCTTACTTAATCTCCTGAGCGGCGCACGATTCTCTGATTTGATTTTTTTACATTCTCTAGCGCCAAAAATGAAATTTCTCAGCCTTGGTGAGAAATTTAGGGTAAATTAAACGATTTTAAGGGGAAAAGCCTATTCAAATTTTGCGAAACAGCACATTTAATTTACTTTAAAATGGAACAAGCTTTCGGTTCTGTCTTCTCGAATTTCAGTTTGTTGTTCTACAGTGCCACCTTAAAAATACCTCCTCCTTAAATTTCATTGTAGTGGTGTGGTGTTGCGACAAAATGCGTGTATACCCAAGACGACGAGCGATCAAGGAGAGAAAATGGTACCGCCCGAGTTTTTAGATTGTTCTTACGAGAATTTTATTTGCCAAATTCAATTTAATTTTGTTTCCAAATTTGACCTACTAATCTTTTCGAAAACCCGACACTGTGTTTAACTCGATCGCTCAGCGCCTACAATCCTTCTTGCAAGTCGCCTGTAATGTTTATGGGCTAGTCTAAAAAATGCTGGCTGACATCAAGTGCTTTCAAAGCTTCGTTCGGTGTCATTCATTCTTTTGTTTTTGGTCCAAAATCGATATATAAAAACAAACAATTGGAGTGAAAAAAGCCAAACTAATAAAGATCCCGTTGGAATTTAGTTCCTTTTGCAGCCAGCATTTTTATTAGGTTGTTTGAAAGAGTTTAAAGGTTCTTATCTTTGGCGACTGATGTTTTCATTCTTTACTGCTTCCAGTTTCTTCTCTTGACCATACTGTCTTGTCTCTCCTTTCTCTTCACAAAAGTAACTTTCCTGTAAATAAAGGAGAAAAATCCAAAGATCAGTAATTGAATAAATTCCATAGCTAACTAAGAGTGAACATTATGTTTACATTCTGTATAACGAGCGTTCGTTCAGCTAAAGACTGGACGCTAACGAATATTGTCCTAATAGTCAGAGTTTATAATTCTACTCATAGCAGGGAGGCAATTAATCGCTTTGGTAAGATAGTAACGAATGAGTAGATCTGACTAAAAAAGCTGTCGCAACGTGCACGAATTTTGCGAACTGAGTTCAAAACGTTTCGGTCAACAGTGTTTCGACATTAGTATAACTTTTAATGTAGGTTATTTTTCCTAACAAATGTAGTCTTAGGCTGGGCAATCAATTCTAATTTTGTGTGAACAATGAACTGCCCAAAGCTTGGTATGACATACGTTAACTCTTAGTCGACTGAATTCCTTCTCCAATCTCATTCAACAAACCCTTACGGCGTTCTAGACAAAATAAAAGTCACCGTTATCTTTAACGATGCTTACCTTCGGTAGTAACCGTAACTTCAAGTTTCAATCCAGAAATCCATCTTCTTGCTGAGGAGTGCATAGAAGTCTTCAGCGGCAGAAACATACGTCTCCACACAGCGACCACTAAAAGAATGGTTTGTTGTGATTTCTTGAATTTGCATATATGTGGTTCAGCAGCAACAGCCAATCAGTGAGGAATACATCACAAAATTTATTCCCGCGCTTTTAAACAAAAGAATGGCGTTGAGCATAGACCACTTTCATAAATGGCTGCCGGATTAATATTCTTTTGTTTAAAGTTAAATTAGCCCTACTGGCCTCGTTCTCCAGTACAAAATTCAAAAGAATACATTGTCTCAAGCGAAGCCAGAAGGGCTAATTCAAATTTAAACAAAAGAATATTAATATGGCAGCCATTTACGAAAGTGGTCTACGTTAGATTGCTTTTTGCGTGTGAGTTTTTATTGGAAAGATATGGTGATGTGAATTTCTTAAAAGAAAAAAAAAAACAGAAAAGAATAGGTAAAAAATTAATGTAAAGTAAAAGAAGAATTGAGCCAAAGAGACTAAGAAGAGAATAAGAGCAATATCTTAAAGATGTCCAATCACTGCAAAGAGTTTCAATGTCGTGCGAAGTTATGCTAAAATCTTCAATTTTTTTTAACGAAGTTTATTCAATTCAAATTTTTATTGTCATTTTAACGGTGCAACCAAACGAACTCGAATCACCTTGGAGGCGGCAACTTTGATTCTGAATTTGTATTTCTTACAAGTTCGAAAAAGCGTTGTTCAAAATCTAGGGTCACTGCAATTCCATGGATGAAATCGTCGTTTAGAACATGATCTGGTATTGGCACACAGTTCAATCGAGAAAGTGTTGCTTAAAACAACCAGACTTGGTTTTGAGATTGAGACGCAAAAATGGCATGATACAACTTTTACTAAAAATATAATCCTCAGTCAAGTGGCAACAAAAACGACATTTTTGAAGGAGCAGACTTAGAAAAGATTATTCACAAACAAATCTATAAACCAAACAAAAATTAAAGGAAAAAAAAAACTTTCAAACGTACTCCAATTCGAGACCTTCGCGATATTCTTGGTATGTTACACCCATCTGACAAGGGGAAGTTGCATTTGTCTACGTGACTACCCTTACGAAAGTTATGGTGTAAATGTTCCATAGCATTTTCGAGGGTCTCATCGTGTGACAAACGGAACATCGGTAGCTCGAAAATGAGAAAAAAAAATTAGTTGCAAAGAGGGAGCTGTGACACTCTTATTATCCCTGGGAAGTACAAGAAGACAGAGCCACTGGCTGTGTGGAGCTTGCAAGAGCTATTTGACACGATCCAGCAGGTATTGTGGAACCTTCAGTACTGACGTGTACAGGGTCGGACGGGTACGTTGTCGTAAGCGGGAAAAAGCCGTCCGACCCTGCACTCGCACAACACAGTGGTCAAACTAAGGGCATGCGTAAAGGGAACAATTTGGGTCAGCTACGGGCCAATTTCCTGCGCGAAATTTCAAAGCTAAGAAAATAGAAATAAGAAACCGCTTTATCGCCAATAAAGTGAAAAAAAAAAAAAAAAAAAAAAAAACAGTGATGCATTCGTGAAAATCTGTAAAAGGAAACAAAAGTGGGGAAAGGTAAATAAAGCACGAGACTTTTTGCACACAATTTATTTGAATACGTGTTTGCTCCTAATTTACCAATTTGCTTTGAGCCTTATCATAAACGCTAAATGGTTTTCAAACGCCGCGACTCACTCGCTGGCGAGGTTATTTGTTAGACAACTTGGTCCCTGAAAGCGCGCGCAGATCCTCTACAAAATTCGCACATCCGCAGACGTTTCACCGCTGTATTCACTCGCACTGCTATGTTTTATTTTCAAAGAACATGAATAATATTCTTAGACTTAACCTAAAATAAAGCGGAAATGGGAAAATAACTCTTCAATGAATTTCGAATTCCTTGTGTTAACTCGGAGAAATAAACGAAAAGGTTTTTGTTTAATCTAAATGGCGTCTCAGTTAGGTTCAAGCACAATTTGGGGCCGAATGGTAAACGAGGGATGACCCCAAGAAAGTTAACAAACGAAACAAAGAAAAATTTCGAATTTGATTAGGTTTTGTGACTTGCATGACGAGAGAATTCTTACCTGACGCGAGTGGTTTTCGCGTACGTGGTACCAGCTGGACTATTAACACTCAGGTAACACTAGCGAAAGTGTTGTACTATTAAAAATATGAGATAAAGGCAACGATTGTAAGTAAATCAAAAGTAAATCAAAGATTTCTTCCTCTGGTTATTCTTCTGCTGTTACCGAAAAGCCAGTCTCAGGGGATTACTTAGTAAAGCCTAGCGTAAAAAGCAAACGGCACGCTAGAAACGGCGGAGTGAAATAACGAGAGAAGTTTGGGTCGGGTCTCACAATCAACGCCGTTCTTCACGTGACCCGACCCAGGCCTCAATCGTTTTCTTACTCCACCGCTAGCGTCCTGCCGTTTATTATCGCGCTTCATCTTACTAGGTTAACACCTGCAACAGGATAGTTACCGAAATAGAAAGACTACTCTAGAGGAATCTTCAGACAAGCACAGGGCAAAAGAACATGTTTCCCTGCATGTATCAATCTGAATGAGCATGGCGAGTAATGAAAAGATACTTTTCTCATCAACAAAAAGAACTGGTTGGCTACCACGAATAAAAAGAGCTTGATGAAATTAAGTTGACGATTTCAACAAAATTCAAACTCACAAGTGAACCGGAGTGATAAACTATTGAAAAAACAAACAAAAATAAAACTAAAAGTGTTATTTCAATCTTGGAGACTTGACAACACAGTGTTCAACGCCTATTCACCAAAATCATAATTTGTGAAAATTATACCGCCTCGTTGTTTTAAGTCCTTTGTAGACTGCGAGCAATTCCTCCTTTTCGGCGAAACTCATTGCATGAGCCATAAAAATTCGTTGAAAAAAGTGAGACACATAAAAAAGGTCTCCCCTAGAATTCCGTGCGGAGCGCTAACATTAATTTTTTTTATCACTGATTTTCTTTTACTTGTGCGACGGACTTCGCCGAAAAGGATGACCTGCTCGTAGTCTTAACTCCTTGAAACAGGCGAGACAAACTAATCTCCAAAAACTAATCGAGTACACCATTCTGTCAAGATTAAATGTTTCTTTTTATGTATCCAAAATCTTTTTTGTACCTCAAAACCACGTTTCACAGCATCAAGAAACAAAACTTAACTTTCACTGCTCGTCAGAATTACACGACACACAAGAAAATAGAAAGTTGAAATGAGGTTCTTAATTCTTAAAGTTCTAAACATTAAGAAAATCTAAGAAATAGAAAAAGTTGTTCATTTAGCAGTCTTTTCAGTCAAAAAACTCGTGAGCATGCACCGTCTTTTTATGAACACGAAGAGAACTGGGTTGTGTGAAAGTCTTGTTGCACAAATCGCACACGAATGGTCTCTCTCCTGTATGTGTTCTGATGTGCGACTTCAAAGCACCGCGGTCAGCAAAGGCCGAGGGGCATGCTGGACATGGATACGGCTTCTCACCGGTGTGACATCTCACGTGACGCTTTAAACCGCTGGAATGCGTGAACTTTTTGAAGCAGTGACTACAGGAGTAAGGCCGCTGACCAGTGTGTATGCGGACGTGAACGTGAAGGCTGCTGTACGAGCTAAAGTTTTTGTGACAGTGTTTACAGAGATATTTCTTTCTTTTAGTCTTTGGGGCAGATTCTTCAGATGAGTCTGGGGTCGTTTCTTTCTTGACCTCTGTCGCAGTGTCATTGTCTTTAACGAAATTATTATCTGTGTTTTGCGGAAAATTGTTTTCTTCTGGTGTTCCGTTAGTGTTAGGTATACTATCGAGTTCAAGTGATCGATCTATACTCGGAGATCCTCCAACTTCTGAGGACTCGTTTGGCCTTGTTTCGCTACGCATCTCTTTTTCAGTCTCGGATTGTTTCGGTGAACTTTGCTCTCTTGATCCAACTCTACTACTTTGCTTAAAACTACACAAAATTCTCGCTGTATCGTGCTCCTCTAAATCCCTATCGGGTGCAACACTTGGTTGATCGACAGGTTGGGTGTCAATCTTCGTTTCAATCTCGTTCAACGGAGATGTCGTTGTCTCAACTTTTTCGCTCGTCTCCATTTGCTCGGGTTTTTCTTCGTTTGGCTCCTCGTCACTTGCCCATCCATTTTGATCTTTGTGCGTCTTCATGTGAGAGCGCAGATATCTCGTCTGAATGAATCCCTTGCCACATACTCCACACTTGTGCGGTCGGTCCTCAGTGTGGGTCATCTTGTGGTAGTAATACGAGCTGTAATAAGGAAAACACCGACCACAAAGCTCGCATTTGTGAGGCTTAAAACCCGTATGGCTCCGAGTGTGGATTTCTAGTTTGCGGTGATGATCAAACGTTTTGCTGCACAAGGAGCAGCAGTAGCGGCCTTCTTTGTCAACCACGGCGTGCGAGGAGATATGATGCTCGAGTTTCTTGCCATTACTAAACGACTGGCCACACACGAAGCAGAAATTTGCACCATCGGGTTCCTCGCCTCTCTCGCCACTGGGGTTAGCATTGTTTATACCGCGTTGATGTTTCAAGTCGTTGTTTAGCTGGTCTTGCTGATGGGAGGTTTCACGATGTAACTTCGCGACCCCCTGAGTTAATTCTTCCGGGAGGGAATGGAGAAATTCTTCTCGGATATTCCTTCCATTGGGGTTAACCCTTCGGGTTGTTTCCTTAGTCGAAGTAGTGTCCTGCGCAACTACAGTTACATTCAGCTCACGTCGAATAACAGTCTCACCCTCGTAAGAGGTAAGCGGCACGCTGTTACGGGCGGTTAACTTAAGACGTTTTCTCTGTATCGCCAACAATTCGTCTCCTCCTTCGTGAGACATCAAGTGTTCCAGAAACTCTGAGCGACTGGAAAAATTCTTTTCGCAACGAAGACACTGGAGCTCCTGCGATGAACCATGATAGCAGTCTAGATGAATCTTAAGCAGTTTCTTGTGACCGAAGTAAATGCCACAGTGATGGCACGAGAAGTCACGTGGGTGCCTTCGCCTTGGTCGATACGCTTCATTAAGCTGGCGGGAGCGCCCTGGGGAAGTGACAGGATGATCTGCATTTTCAGCTTTTGGAGAACTTTTCTTTACAAGATTTGAAATTTTTGGAGTCTCCGACATCAACTGCTGGTGTTCCTGTGGTGTCAGTTGAGTCCCAAGTTCAGGCGCACTGGCCCTTCTTTTGAGAGACAGGGAATGAAGCAGTGCCTCTTTGGTAATGTTGTTGATGCTCTCGCGAGTTGGTAGCTCTCGATGGCCCTGAGCGCTGTCTTGTAATGGGCCTGGAGGAGCTGTTCTTTCCACCGGCTCTTGTGCTCTATTAGGGGTCAACGCAGGGAAAGGTGTCCGGTGATATCCGAAGGCTGAATTAGCAGACGTTGTACGAGTAACAGGCTGATGAGCTCTCTTGAATTGGACACCTGGATGCTGGAGGGCTGAATTCAGTGACGATGTGCGAGTGACGGGCGGATGAGCCCGCCTTGCGCTTACGTCTGACTGTAGGAGGGCTGAATTAGCTGATGCTGTGCGAGACAGGGGCGGGTGAACTCTTCTAAAACTTACATCTGATGGTAGGAGGGCTGTGTTATCAGACGCTGTACGAGAAAGGGGCGGGTGAAGTCTTCTTAAGCTCACTTCTGACGGAAGAAGAGCTGAATTAGCCGAGGCTGTGCGGGAAAGGGGCTGGTGAACCCTCCTATATCCCGATTCTGACTGCCGCGAGAAATTTGACGCGAATCTTGGATGCACCACAGGGATGAGTGGTGGGGGACCCCCCATGGGCAGGCCTTCTCTCTTACCTCTGCTTAACCCCAGGAATATATTTTTGGTGAGGTCGTAGGCTCTGTTGGTCCTTTCAAACGTTGAGAAAGCGGACAACCGACTGTTTAGAGAATCTGTTTTGCGCATCCTCTCCACTGCATCGTGGTTTAGTTTTGCGGCTGTTGAGAAGGCTTCTAATTCTTTTGGAACACGTCGTTGATCGCGTAAATTTTCCTCTCGTTCCATTGTCTCGCGGGATTTCGGAAGGAAGATCCTTGTTTTCGACTCTGGACCCATTAGGAAAGGTTTTTCGTCTTCGTGCGAATCTGTTGGGGAACTAGTTTCCTTTTTGTGATGGCGAAAAGGGCCTAACGTTGTGGGAAACCGTTGTTCCGCATACAAACGCAAATCATCCACTCGACTTTTCATCGAGTCTTCGTAAGAGGAAACATCTCCTTGCTGTTTTGTCTCACATTTGTCCTCCGAAACTTCACTGTTACGCCCATAGTCAGATTCCAAATGATTATCTTTTTTCGAGCGGTCTTCACAAGCAGTTTCCTCAGTAGTCACGCCACTTGGAGTTCGTCGGAGACTATTCGGTTTCCTTCGTTCGTCTTTGGAATTTACGAGTGAGGTTTCGTGTGATGTTACATGGCTAACGAATTCCGGGCGGTTGTCGAACGATTTTCCACAGTAGTAGCACTGTAGCAAGTCTAACGAACTGTGGTAAGAGTTCATGTGAATTTTCAACAAGTTCTTATGTTCAAAATGCAGTCCACATTCACTGCAATGAGGTTTCTTATGACAAGTGTTCATATGAGCTCTAAGCTCTCGCGAGTCGGGGAATTTCTCGCTACACATCGTACACGGGACGGCCACATCACTAACACAATCTTCGTCACGAGACGGACTTGTTCGATTAGATTCGGAGACGGTGTTATCGTCTGTCAAACATTTATCTTGTCGGAAACTAACGACTTCCTTATCATCTCGGACAGTGTCTCTTTTCCTTGCTTCCATTTTAATAAGCAAGCTGGATTTCAGCTTATCAACCACATGATTTTCTGAACTCGTTTTGTCGCTGTCTCCTTTTTGGTGGGAGATCAAATGATGCAAGTACTCCATTTTAGTCGAAAATTCCTCCTGGCACCGATTACACCGTAGCGTTGGGCGCTTTGTTGAGTTAGCTCTGTGAATACTTGACTCAGAGTCACCGCTCTCGTCCCCAGACAGAGTGGACGAGTACGATCCGGTGGGTGATTCTGGGCTTCCTTCGAGACCATCATCCAAATCGGGCAAGCCAGTACGTTCAGCAACATAAGACGGATCTGGTTCGACAAGAGCATCTTCAAGATCTTCCGCTTTTCGCTTTACATTTTTTTGTGGAAATGTAAAAGGTAGTGGAATACCAGAGAAGCTTTTGGTTGTAACGATGACCGAAGACCGCCTCGGTTGATTTGGCATCTGATGATAATCAACAGCTGAAGTAAACAATCCATTGACCACGTCTTTCGTGGGCGGCGAAGCTGTTCGATTTTCGGGAGAAGATGGCGGTGTTTTCTGTTGAAGCTCAGGTTGGGAGTTTTCTTGTGACACTGAAGTTTTTGTTTCTATTGCCTCAATTTCCATCGCCTTGTCGGAGTCACTGTCTCGTGTATCACTCTCTGTAATACCGTCTTCTTTTATATCATCTCTACCGAGAGAAGTTGCTTCGTCATCGCTCTCCAGACACTGGCTGTCATCCTCCCATTCATTGGCAACAAAACCATTAGTCTGTTCGTGTCCAGTCTCTACATCAGCATGCTCAGCCTCCACTGCAGTATTTTTCAATTCCATATCCTCATCCTCAACTTTCATTTCTTCATCAATCAGCTGATGAGGCGAAGTAACAGCCAACTTTGTCCCTTTGCTCTCGACCTTGTGATAATGCTCCATATGTAAGCGCAATAGTTTGTCGTGGTCGAATTTGAGCCCGCAAGCCACACAAACCGGTTCAGAGTGATGCGCTTTGATGTGAAGTTTCAAAACATTAGGGTGTTCAAATATGTCTTTGCACCTCGGACAGCGGACCTTTACATTGTGATGAACCCGCATGTGAATGTGGAGGAGGTTCGCGTGCTCGAATTCCTCGTGGCACGTGCCGCATTTGAGGACGTGGCGAGCGGCGTTTTCGTGCTGCTTGACTTCGTGGATCTTAAGAGCGCGTGACGAGGCGAAGCTCTTACTGCAGTGAGCGCACATCCACATTCTAAAGAGAAAAAGTGACAGACAAATGTGAGCACAAAATAAAGTTGTCCTATCATCTGCTAGTTGTTTTGTTGTCACTCCTCCCTCTCTCCTCCCTGTGTATTACATCCCCCCCCTCCCTGTCACCGCCTTCTCCAGGACGTTTCCTTCAAGTAGATTAACACGTAACAATCATGTAGCATTCTAACATGACATTAAACAAGTCTACACGGGTAAATTGCTCTTCTTAATAAGCAAGTTGAGTACATAAGTCACGCATAATCAAATTTTTTTTTTCAGGCAAAGAGCACAACAATGATTGTGAATGCAGAGCAGTATGATGTGAAGGAATGATAGAATCTCAAAGTCTGAGTTTGCAACTACCACCACATTTAATCTTCACTAAACAGAACTTGATACAAAGAGTGTTTCATGAACAAATTTATCAGCCAGACATTTCAGCTATCAGCCCAGCATAGAGGGAAAAATAACATCCAACAAACAAAATATGATTTCTTTCAAGTTCACGACTGGCAGTTTTATTTTACCAAAAAATTATCACCTTCACTTTCAACAGTACTCCAAATCAGCTGAGTAATTGTTTTCTGATCAATAAAATTGCCCCAGTAACCTGCAAAATTGACTGCCTATGGTGCCTCCTAAAATCACTTGGAATTCTTAAAAAGGAGTGCTCTACTAGTTTGAGAATTGATTTCACCTGGAGTGCTTAAAATAAGGGGCAATGCTGAGTTAAAGAACACCACACTGGTCCAGTTGAAAAAGTTCCTTGATCACATAATCCATCACTGCATTTGCATAGAATGGTGGTTAAACAAAGCAAAATTAACCAGAATGTTACCTGGTTTGACTATCATGCAACATAAAATGACAAGTGAAAACATGGGAAATAACCTGGACAGCCATTTCAGAGGAACAGTTTGACTACAATCATTCTACAACTTACCGACAACATTCTGTGAAATTATGCATCTTTACATCACTCATGTTTTCCTTTTGAGCCTTTTTTCCAAAAGATTCAATATTGCTGGCCATGGTTAGAGGTTTTATACTTGCTTATTCCATATCATTGCAGGCCATTACTAAATAAGCAGATCAGTGCACCTTGACAGAGGTCCTCTCCAGTGTAAAGTAAAAATTCCTTTGAAATCAAATTACTGACAGAAATTCCTTTCTTGAAATCACTGTCCGACCACACATCAATCTTGTATCTCCCAGATTGTTGAACAGTAAGCGTTGTACGAGGCTTCTACCTGCAATATCATAAGAAACATTTAATATAGGCATAATAAATGAATCTCATTCATGTCGGCAATTAAAAACAAAAAAACTTTCCCTAAAAGTTTAAAAACTTAGAGGAATTCAGAGTCTGGCATTCTACATCAAGTTTGAAAATGACAAGACAATTTTAAACCCACCACAAAACAGGAAGAATCTAAAGTTGGTGCAAGGTGTGAATCAAAAGGATTTCTTACAAACAGAATTGCTTGAACACAATAGCAATATCATTTCTTTTATAAAACATCACGTCACATGTAGCATCACATGCAAAACCTACTAAGGCTCATATGATAGTCATCAAACCTGCAAACTTTCGCAAGTATTTTATGCCAAAAATGCAGAGTATCAAATTAACTTGAAAACCTAGCAAATCTTAACAGTGTGCAGAGGTAAAGAGAGTGTTGAAAGATTCCATTTTAAAATAGAAAAAACCACAACTTAACAATATCACACACCAGCTGTGAATATTTTGTTCTTTTGTTTCATGTATGCTCATCAGATCACATATTAATTAGTTGTCACAAGTGGGCCATAAAATATACTATTAGCAGTTTGAAATGAAAAGTATCTATCTAGTAAACACATAATAACAAAACAGAGATGTAGCTAGAAAACTAGAGAAAATACTCCAAATGAACCAAATTTTGCACCAGGTTGTTGATGGGATTCTTTGCTGACATTTTGACTTAGACTGCAATTAAGTGCATATGCCCTTCAGCATACACCTTTCTTTACACCTAAATATTCATGACATCAATAAATGAGATGATATTGAAGAACCAGGTTTATAAACAAGGCACCATTATAAATCATGTTTCCAATATAACTATTAATTATTATAATCTTTAGTTTGTATCCTTGTTGCCATGTGAACATAAATACATACATATACCTGCTCAAACTTTTCCACATCAGCACAAGTACCGATGTCGGAAGCAACTCAGTCAACTTCCCCAAACATCTCTCAAACAACAGGTTTTAGGCTTATGAAAACATTTTGTGTAAGATGTTCTGGACAGTATTTTTTACATCTTCATTCTCGCACAAATCAATCACATCTTTTTTGAAAACAGTTATGGTATGAAATATTTTGCCAATATCTAATAATTCTGTTTTCCTATATGGGGGCTTCGTTTCCATGGCACAACATTGATTCTGACATTAACCTCAGTCAACTTTCTTCTACAGAAATCTTCTAATAATAGCAATTATCTCTATTTTAATTATTTGATTTCTATAATTCTAATACAAGAGCTTTGACAGTTTAAACGAACTGCTTTAGAGTTAGGTTCCACCATATTATTTGATATTAAGCAACATTAGTTCCATAAATTACAGACCGAGAACCACTTTGGCTGTCTATTTCTGCAACCCTGGTGTCTAACTTTTGTTCCGGTTCTTAAGAGGAACATGTGCTCCTTTCTCTAAACAGAGCCAGTCTTATAAAGCGATAGTGTTAGCAGATTGTATTGATTCAAAATAATAAAATTAGAAAAATGTTCAAAATGCAGCAAATTATACAGCTTACATTGAGCAACTGTGAAGGTGAGAATATTTTCACATTCCATTTCTGTATGTTGAGAACATCAGGTTTAAAAAAGTGATTCAATTCATTTATTACAATTTGATAAAATTGACACAGCTCTGTGAGTTCCTTGTTCCAGTTTGATTAATAGGAAAAGCTAAAGAGAGATATCATGCTTCACCACATAATTTTTTCCATATCAGCAACGAGCAGTTTGAATGGCTGGCAATCTTATTCTATGCAACATGTATCTCACTTTAACATATCTCTATAAAAAGGAAGATGTTTAACACTTGTGACTAACTTAGAACAAAGAAAAATATGAGTATTCCTGTAAAGCTATAAACCCCAGAGAGTCCTGATTTTTAAACTGTCTGTCTTCATGTTCAAAAGAACAAGTACCAGTTTCCTTGTTACCATTTCATACCTTTAATCTAGATACACTTCTCTCCCCTACCAATAACACATTGCCTATAATGTTAGTTCTGAGTATTTGATGTTAAATCAGCAAGTGTCCCTGTTTTGGTATTTTTCTATACTTTTCTGTTTGAAATTAAATTAATTAGGGAATGATTTTATTTCTGGTGACTTCTTGGGGTGAAAGAGTTAAAACAACAAAAAGTGACATAATTGTTTAAAATGACCATCAATTTCCTTAGGAGAAATCTTGTTTGAATCATTTAGTAAAAAAAAAATATCTTAAAGCACTGGAATTATCAGAGCATCATTGATATAGCTTTTAGAAATTTAAACTTTCATGATTTAGGTGGAGATAGATTTATCAATCTGTACAGTTAATATTGGCAAAAAAATGAAAATGGATTACCCATGTATCCCTTTCCCTTCTAAATAATATTGTGAAGAATATCGTTCACGAAAAAACATATACCATGTTTACCTCCCTAGAGCAATCACAAGTTTTTCTAAATGGAAAATTTCAATGCTGTTTTTTAATAACCTTATATTTTTATGGAAATCCCCATTTCATGACAATTTGAAAAAAGTTTTAAAGGAATCAAAGATACATTCCTACATCTGTTATTCGCATTGGACAATGACATCAACACTCAAGTAACCATTGAATGAGAACTGCTTTTTTCAAATTGTATTGATGAAGGTAAATAATTTTTTTTCGTGAGGAAATAGAGTACAACATGTATGGCTTGTATTAAAAGCTGCAGATTTCTAAAATGCATGGCCATGGGACTCACGCTTTTGAAAAGAATCATTTAGATCTGTAAAAAGATTAATGGAAAACTAAATGTTTCACCCAAAACATATTTTCATCATAACAGGAAGCAGTCCAACGGAATGGAGAATTAGCTAACAACAAAATTTAAATATTAAAACATGATGTAAGTATACATTTTAATCATCACTTCAAAGCACTTGTCTAAAATTAGTCGTTCCACTCGAGAAATGTTCGAAGCACTTTTAGTAACTGAATCACCATATCAAAAGTAGCCCTAATCCTCGCCTCTAACAGTTATTTGATATTTTCTCTATGCAAATCGTTCAATATTGAATCAGACAAAAATATATTCTTCGCATGGTAAACAAGCCTGAGGGAAAACTATCGGCCTTTTGTCAAAAACTGATTGACTCCGAGTTTTCTGGAGGGGAGCGATTGCCAACATTCGCTGAGCAAAACATTCGAACGGATCCTCACAAGCAAAGCAAATATTAATAACCACAAGTCAAGAACTCGTCTGCGATATCTAAAATGATTTTCGCTACCAGAGGTTGACAAAATCACTTAAGCATGCACTTGGCTTACGCGAAAGCAGTCATGGAAGATCGAATTTAATGCCGTAACTCCGTAGGCTTACACCTACAGTAATACCTTTGGACAGTAACACGAGTTTTGTGATTAGATTTCAATTAGGAGAATTATAAATGCTTATGCAACGCGTTCTGTTTATTCTAATGAGCGTCAGCTATTACGTACAGGCTGCAATAACTCTCGAGCCGTCTCAGAATATCAAAGGTCGCAGATCTTCGGTTTTAATATTCTCAGTTGTTTGTTAAAAGCCTCAATGGATTTTACAAAATTATCGTCACGCTAACGAACAAAGCTTTCCTTTAATCCAGTCAAATAGGTAGCCTATAAAGCCATCTTCTATTCTTTAAAAGAACAGACATTGCGTCAACCAGTAAAACGACGGAACTTTTCTTAGACCGTACAAAAGCTCAAGGATGCGCCTATAATTTCCTCTCTCTGCAAGTTAGAAACAATTGCTCGGTCTCTCAAACGGAGCTTAAAGACACTCTTTAGAAAAATCCGCTGCCTTTCTAGTCCAAGAAAACACATATGTGAAAATGGAGTAACAAATTTACCGGAGGTCACAGATTCAATTCAGCGAGGGAAATGACATCACCTACAACATCGATCCTTCACTATTACACATATAAAATGGCGCGTTGAACTCGAGAACGATATCAGTTAAACTTACCGAGCAATCCTTCCCTTTAGACCATAACCACTATTGATGGTAACCACTTTTAGGGCGGCTAGCAATTCGTATGTTGATTAAAACAGACAGAGCGAAAGAAAACCGTTCACCAGTGTCCAAACCTATTGAATTACGAAAACTGTGACTTCATCAAATGTAAATGAGGCTGTGATGACGTGTTTCATGTGGAATCTAGGCGTCAAAATTATTTTGGTGGTTTCAATTTACTGCGATCGTGACGGAAGTGAACGGCGTAATGATTAAGCAGTTACAGAAAGCTCTCTTTAACCACACAGGATGCTAGACCCGAGCTACTTAAATAAGAAATATCCTGAATAAGGCCTGAGAGCAAAACATCAGCTTTCTTTGCCTTCAATTTATCAACCAGAACGAAAATTTCTAGACCAGTCTAGACTACGAAATCGTGCACTGAATAAATGTGCTAAATTTAAATCATGGTGTGAGACAAAGGAAAAATATCACAACGTATGACGAAAAAGGCATCTAAAAGAGTACTCCCTCTTTAGAATAGTGATGTGAAGCTGCGATTACTGATAGAAGTTCGCTCGAAGAAATTAGATAGTAATATTTTGCACCGACGTTTACTTTAGAATTATTTCGCAGATAGAAATAAAGAAACTTTGCACCTTTGGGATAAGAATTTCGTCCAAAACTAGGTCACGCTCACATTAAATGTGGTCAAACCCTTCCGAGTTTTCCCCGTAGCGGACTCGTCGCGAAATTTTCGCCCCTCACCCAGAACCGTAAATAATGCGCGTAGAAGTTTCGCGAAAACCGGAAGTTATCATTTCCATTCAATGTTGACATTTTTTAGAATTTTTAAGTGATGCCGAAGTTAGAATTATGATGCAATGAAAATAATAAAAAAAAACCCCTTGCTCATCGTTTCGATCAGGATACGGATGTTAACCGGATGGTTTCGATATCAGAACTAACCTATTTGTCACTGTCCTCAGGAAATCAGATTTCACGGACTAGTAAATTGAGAAGGCGTAAAAACCGCCACGGATTTCCTTTGTGCCTGAATATGGGCATTTATCAATGACCTGAGATCAGTGAACACCCCCACAAAAATAATATTAGGGCAGCATAAAACTGAATTTAATCGTTTCCCAGGAGGAAATTGTATTTTTTGTTCTACTTGTTGTCGTTCCTCCATCCAAGATCCTGGTTAAAAGACACGATTTCGTGCAAGAAAAAGATCTTCGTGAAGAAAATCATAATTCTGCCCACCATAACACTTCAAAGATCGTATATATGCACTTTAGTCAATTGAGAGAGACTGTTCTTTTAACAGCATCGCATTGAGGTGTTTCCAAAAAAAGGTACCGCCCAAAATATCTAATGGTAATTGCATAGCCTGCAGCACAAAATAGAAAATACCAGATCTTCGACAACAATCAAGTCTTCTAACAGTACACAGAAAGTAAAGTTTAAAAGAAATTATTCATGTAATAAACGTAGATATAGGACAGGAAGAGATATTACAGATGAGTTTAAAAGGAAATTGCCTCTTCAGCTTTTCAGCGCTTTCAAATGCTCAGAACACTTAAAATACGTGAGTTATCGCTAGTAATAATTTGTGAAGTGGTTCTAGAATCACCCATTACTACCCATCAAAGGGGACAACTTCCATGAAGGGGGTGGGGTAGATGTTGGAATTCAAAAGAGATTTTTAAGTAAGCAGGAAATTTTTTCATTTATAGGGATATGGAGAAGGTAAACTTTTTGGGACAATTAACACAAAATATCAACCATTTCAAGGGAAATCCCTTTTGATCAGTTATCTTCTGCAAATAACTTTTTTCTCTAAGGAGGTAACTATATACACAGACAGGGGCAATGAAAATTAATTGACAGCATTTGATCATAATCATTGCTTGATGATCATTGATTTATTACTTTTCTGTGCTTTTTTTTTTGAAGGAGCCAGAAACCTTCTTTAAGTAATACGATTGGTCTCAGCTTTGAATCAAGTTTGAGCAGCCCCTAACAGGACTAATAGAAATGACCAAGATTTAATATTGAATATGTATTATTTTAATTTGGATCTGTGGAAGCCCTGGAAATGCCTGTTTCACTGCCATTTTTGAGATTTCTTTGAAGTGAGCATTATTGTTTGACACTCCAAAATTTTGATAAACCACCAATAATATAACACTCTCTCAAGTCCAGTTTCAACAGATTTAAACAATAAAGCTTTAAAGAGCTCTATGTATGCTGAGGTCTAAGCATCACGAAAAATTTAGCCTATAATTTTTCAATTCATTCATTTACAGAGTGAGTCAGTCTTTTCTGTCTGTAACCTGATCCTTAATGCTTCTGATTTACATTGTAACTCTTTAGTGATATTTGGTGAACTCAGAGTTTCTTTCTATTTTTTTTTAAACATTTCTCTGTGAAAATGAAAATTGCCAGCCATGAGTTATCAATGGGAAATGCAAAAACAGAAGAAAAGTGTAGAGTAACAGAGGGGTATATGTTGTGTATAATTTAGGGTTCAGCCTTCCTCATCGCCAGTTGTTGTGTATTAGTGTTTAAACAGACCAATCACAACCAACTTACCTCACTTGAGTCTTACAGCCACTAACATGACGGCAAAAGCAACCAATCATTTCACACGAACTGGAATAAGAACATTCTACTGACAACAATCATTCACTTGACTCTGATGATGACTTTTGCACAGGTCAGTCACTACCACTGACAACAGTCCTTCTCAGGACTACACTCACCTGGACAATCAGACTACACCTTCACATGTTACCCCCGGGTTCAAACCATTTACTGCGTATATTACAATAGAGTATTGCATGAAACAGACCAAGTGCTCTACACAACTTCTTTATTGGAATACAATGAGCTTAATTATAAACAATGATATACAAGGATAATCACATGAATGTGGTTAAGGGGTGCTAACCAATAAAATACAGATTATCTAATAGCTGAGGTATCTATCCAAATAGAAACAGACACTTTAACTATAGTACACTGTAGAACAGATCCATGACTGAAAAAAAACTAGCTCAGAGAATTCTCTGATCTCTGCTGCCTGCGGAACACCCTGAACCACTAAACTATTGTCGCACAGCTCTCATAGCCTAATATGAAACAAGGCTGAAAAGAGCATTTCTTTCTTGCAAGGACACATGCCTGACCAAGTCTCCCTTTAGCTGGAGCAAAAACAAATATAGTTATGCATTTTTAAGTACAGTTTGTTCTTTTCAAATCAATATTTTTTTTTTGTTCCTGGGAAATGGTTTTTTTTTGTCTGAGCTGATCTCCATTTGACTTATTAGCTGGTAAACATTTACGTAGACATAAAGTTAGACATTGTCTGTTGACTAAAAGTTATTTCCATGGCAAGGAGAAGAGAAATAACTCCTCAGCTGGGATTGAGTCTGTAAACGGTGCAAGAAAATTTCCTTGAACAGTTGTTATAGTCCTTGATGATGTGAACTATAGTGTCTTTTTCCATCATTATCGAATGATCAGCATCTTGTATCCAGTTACTAATGGTTGTTTCTTGAATTAGTAATCCTGTTTGATTATCAAAGAGTCCTATCACTCCACAGGGTGTATCGCTGGACACATCTGTGGAGAGGACAACCAAAATATCAAGTTCATCTTCATAATCCACATCTAAAATTGTTTCAAAGCCAGGATTGTTGAAAACTTGATCTGTTCTGGCTTTAATCTCCCGACCAGAAGAAGTGAACCTGGGTCCTTCATTGGAGCCTCTCTCCTTCTTTAGATCAAGCACAAAACAGTGTCTGAGTTCAAATCCTGATGTCACAGACTCTGTTTGGCATAGTTTCAGACACCTGTGACAAATAACAACAACAAAAAAAAATTACTTTGTCAATTTATTTGCAGTATTTAGAAGGGCTGTCACAGTTCAGCCTAAAGTTGGTTTAAATGAGGGCCTGTATAAATGTTAACAAAGCCAGACCACAACAGTGGGAGCTATTTTCCCTGCTTTTCGTGAGAAGTGCATGGGTCCTTCAATGTCCCCTGCTAACCAGCACAGAGAAGATGCATGAGACAGGACCTATGCTTTACTGTCCTTATCTGAGATGACTAGAATGTCTTACCACTTGCAGATGTCATAGCAAAGGCAGTGCATTCTCCCCAGTTATTTTTAAGACCCAAGTGTTGGTTTGGTCTGAGGCTTAAACCCTCAACCTCCTGCAAGGCAATCTAATGTTATACAACATGAGGCAACAATTTGAAACATGCTTGCAAGTTTTCAACTAAAAAAAGAAAATGTCATGCTCATATCTGTCTAAAATCAATCTGTCTATTCCATATACTGTTCTCTATGTATTGGCAAAATTTAAGAGAATTTGTTTTAATTAATGCATACATACATACATACATACATACATACATACATACATACATACATACATACATACTTTATTTAAGGTATCAAAGAATAAACAACACAAATAATACCCTAAAAAGGAAGTTTAAGAGGTTAACCCTATGTAAATAAACTTCGAAAGAAATAAAATTTAAAAATGTATGCTTAATTAATAAAATCTAAGATGGATTAAAATTGAAAAATGTCTGCTTATAATAAAATCTAAGATGGATAAAAACCTAAGAAATATGCATGTATAATTTAAGAGCTGTTTTGAAACGTGTTAAGTTACCTAAAAGTATCTCAACGACATTGGCAGCCAGGTCATTCCATTCACGAATGATTTTAACAAAAAAAGAGTATTTATAACAATTACATTTTGCCAATTTAACCTGCAGTTTGTAATATTATTGTGGTTGGACCTGGTACGTTTTGAAGCAAACTTAAAAAAAATCCAAAAATTGAAGGCAACTCAGCCTGAATGCAATCAAGCATCAAGAGCATCTTGAGTTGGTGATCATTTCCTATGTTCTCATGACTTCAGAAGTTTGATTCAGCTGTGATGCTGTTAGGAGAAATAAGATGCTAGTCATTCTTAGTTGGGGAGGGGGTTAAGAAAAAACCTTTGGGTTGAAAGACAAACCTTGGACTCACCTCCCAGAAAATTTTAGAGTGTGGAGCACTTATAATTATAGTGACCTCAAAGTAGTAGTCCGTGGTAAATTCACCAGCCTGTGGACTCTTCATTGATCTGAAAAAAGCCTTTGATACTGTTGATCACTCAATTCTTCAAAAGCTTGATTTTTATGACATCAGAGGCACCATTAATGACTGGTTCCATTCTTATTTAACTCAAAGGAAACAAACCACTGCATATGGCTCTTACACCTCTGATAGTGAAACAACTCTGTGTGGCATTCCACAGGGCTCTGTCCTGGGCCCACTTTTATTCTTATTGTATGTGAATGGTATAGCTAATTCTTCAAAGCAATTTTCCTTCTATTTATTTGCTGATGATACAAGTATTATTTATGCAAACCAGAATCTTTATAACCTTGAACAGGTAGTTAATTCTGAACTATGTAATATCAGTGACTGGCGTCTAGCTAACAAGCTAACCCTTAATTAAAAAAAAACCAAATACGTGCTTTTCCATCCCAGGCAGAAATGTTTAACATATACCAGGGTAATCCCTCCATCAAAGTTTACAATCCAGCTCAAAACGCATCATGTACCTTGGAAAAGAGAGATTTTGTCAAATATCTTAGTGATTGATTATATCTTATCTGATTGATTATGAACTTTCCTGGAAAAGCCATATTGAACTAATCTGTTTAAAGATCAGTAGAACTGTGGAAATTCTTGCAAGGCTTAGACATACTATTCCATTGCATCCCCTTTTAAATATCTATCAAAGTAGTCTTTATCTTTATTATGGCATCTGTGCTTGGGGCTCTGCACCCAAATCTTATCTAAATAAGTTACTTTTAATTCAAAAGCGAGCTCTACGCCTGATTTACTTTAAGGACTGACTATAAGCAACATGCTGTTCCACTTTTCCTGAAATTGAATGTCTTTCCCCTTTCCTTTAGTTACTTTGATCGTCTTTGTGATATCATGTGGGACATTGCTAACAATCATGCTCCTGAAAATATTAAGTGAGCATTTCCTAGAATTTCTGAGGTGCACTCATATTCTACCCAATCTTCTGTTAACGATAATTTTTATACTGAACACTCAAGGCTTGAAAAAATGTGTTGTCTTTCCTAAGAATTAGTAAAAGAATCTGGAATTCTCTACCCTCAGATATGAGAAAATTGCCAAAATCCACCTTCTGGCAAAAGTTAAGGAATAGACTCTCTGAAGTTTTATTGAAATGTGATGACTACCTTGATATAACCGAAATTATGCACCAATTAACTAAAATTTAGATAGCTCTGAAACATGACTTGACTTTTATTTTCTGTGTAAGTCATGTTGCCATTTCTGTATCTTAATAATAATTTTAACTGATACCATAATTTCATTTTGTGACAGCTGGTACTGTTTGTAAAATATTTTTTGTCTTTTCCTCTCTATAACCTTGTGTGTCTCTTCCCCTACCTTGATTAGGCTCTTCTATAAGCGGGTGGAAGCTAACATGAAATTATAATTTGTGATTTAATGAATAAAGTTTGTTGTTGTTGTTGTTGTAGACACACAGTACCCCTCAGATATACAGCAACTGCACAGATGCATGTTCTATGCACAATGCAGGTTATTAGATGCACATATATACTGCTAAAATTTTCCTTTGTGTTACAATGTTATGTAAAGAAATTAACTTCTGAGTCGGAAAAAGTGAAGAGTAGACAATAGAAAATTTATATATTGAAAAAAAAAAGTATCATGATACAAACACACACACACCTTGCATTTCTTCTTGTAGTTAATTGATAAAGAACAGTAGCAGCAGATTTGCTTGATTTAACTATATTGCTAAGTCAGGGGGGAAAAGAAAATGTTGCCCAAAAAAAGGCTTTTAAACATGTGCATTATTTAATGAATTGAGAAGCAAATACTCACTAACTTGCTTTGCAAAAGGTTTGTTAGGTTTCGGTTTATGCATATCTTACTCCAAAACTGCCTTTTACCAATTGGAAACCAACAACAAGGTATAATTTCTTACAACTGTATTGACTCTTTCCATCTTCAGTCATCAAAAATGAAGTTCTCTTCAAATTGTCTAACACTTTAAGACAGAAGGGCAAGGAGAGGTAACAATAATATCAACTAGAGGATATCCTTTTAAAACCAAATTCTCTGATCT